AAGCCGAAGAGCCAGCGCTTTCCGAAGACGTCTCCGTGATCATGTGGCTGGCATGACTAAACGCCAAAGGCGCACAGAACGCTGTTACCTTCCCACCAAAGGTGGTCCCTATTTTTCTACTTGCATTTTTTACGTGCTTTCGAACTGCTAGGTTGGCAGAAGCTGGGACAAGTAACGGGAGCTCACCCCGTTACGCGGCAGTACTAGGGACTTGAACCGCTGAACTGCCGACCTTTCGATCGACAAGATCAACGTCTTAGCCACTGGGCCACCGCGTCCCACCTTTTTCTCTTTTTTCTCTAAAAAAAGCCTCCTTTTTCTCTAAACCAGACTGAAGTTCTTGTGGTGATTCTTGTTGGGGTGGAATAGCAATAGCAATAAGAAATAGAGAGCCTTGGTGGCACAGCAGACTAAAGTGCTGTTAAGTAACACCAGCTGCCTGCAATTACTGCAAGTTCAAATCTCACCAGGCTCAAGGTTGACTCAGCCTTACATCCTTTCGAGGTAGGTAAAATGAGGACCTGGATTGTGTAGGCAATAAGCTGACTTTGTATAAAAAAGAACATCGCTTAAGGGAGGCCGAAAGCCCTACTAAGCAGGTATATACAAAAGTATGAAGGCTATTGCTTAACGCATTGTAAGCCGCCCTGAGTCTCCAGAGAAGGGTGGCATATAAATCAAATCAATCAATCAATCAATCAATCAATCAATCAATCAATCAATCCCATTTCACAGTGCTTTACAGCCCTCTCTAAGTGGTTTACAGAGTCATCCTATTGTCCCCAACAATCTGGATCTCTATTCATGGTCAAAGTAATATAATATATATTGTTGGCTCTCTATTCATAGCTTACCCTGGGAACAAATTCCCTCCGGTAGGCAATGATGATAAAATACATACTGCCTCCATATTTATTCGTTCTACTAATTAGCAAAAAAAGAAAAAAAGAAAAAAAAAGAATTAGGTAATAAACTAAATGCAAATCAACTCAATGACACGAAACTTGCAACTCCTAAGACAGAGAAATGCTAAAGCAATTAAAACCAAAAACCAAAAACTCCATTTAACCATGCTTGGAATCTGTCTCAGCGGCCTTTAATAAAACTAATGAAATTAGAAAATTTAAAGCATTTAATGGCAAATTATTGATAAGAGGATGGGAGTATGCAAAAGAGCTTAATGAAACCTTCAATAATGAGTTTGTTGTAGACGAAGCAGGGTGCAATATATGGCCATTAGCATTTCTTTTTTCTCTCGACATAATAGAGATAATTAAAGACAATGGAGTGTATCAAGCCCACCCTTGCAAAATAGCTCCCAGGATGAGGGTTTGGGGGCTTCTGTTTACACTGCCTGGATCAGGTTGTATCGCATTCCTTTGACTACAGTACAGATGAAGATGTCAACAGAGAAACAAAAAGTTGTAGGAAATAGCAGGTGAGAAGCATTCCCATTCAAAACATTGCTCATACCAAACTCTCATTGTGCACATCAGTGTGTCTATCCTAGCCAAGCCTACCTCTCAGTGTCTTAAAACAGAATAACCTAGTTCTGGAAGGAAACGCAGTGGGGCAGCAGCTGAACAGAAATGGTCTAAATCAGGGGTGTCAAACTCAAGGCCCGCGGGATGCTTGGATCTGCCCTGCTGGACCGCCCTGGAAACAGCAAAGGACTGGCCTGTGGTGCCTCTGCCAGTAAAAGCAGAGCTCGTGAGGGCTGCGTGAGGCCTTCCTGAGCTCTGTTTTCGCTGGCAGAGGGTTGCAGGAAGCCGTCGCAGCCGAAAACAGAGCTTGAGAGCCCGTTTCACTGGCAGAATCAGTGGTGGGTTGCCCCCGGTTCGGACCGGTTCACAAGAACCGATAGTAAAACCAGGAGGAGGCTCCGCCTACCAACCCGGACGTCATCAGGAAGTTTATGCATATGTGCAAAAGCGTGCATGTGTGAGCAAAGCACAAATGGGCACGGTCCCGTTGCAAACCGGTAGTAAAGGTACGTAGAACCCACCCCTAGGCAGAATGCTCGGGTCACGACAATTGCCCGACATGAGTGACGTCAAGCTGGCCACACCTACCCCAGTCCCCAAAGTCAAACATAACCCTGATGCGGCCCTCAATGAAATCAAGTTTGACATCCCTAGTCTAAATGGTAGAAGGTGGTTTGAGTAGTCATAACACCATGGAATGGGACAAGTTCCCGTCACTCGCCTCTCGCTCCTGCCCTGTGTACCTAGCAATTCAAAAGCATCATTGCGAGTAGATAAATGGGTACCACTCTGGGAGAAAGGTTAGCTGTGTGACAAAAAGAGGAGCTGGCTCTGGACCTGCCTGGAAAATGAGGTGAGACTGGTGGAAGAGGCCACAGAAAATGTCATCAATCCAAACACCGCTAGCCAGATGGTGCAAATTGGTTTGTCCCCTGTGGCGCACCGTAGATAAGTTCACAGGCGCGAAACTGAACAAACTAGCAATTAAGTTGTCAGGACTACTCTGTAAGCATAGCTCTCCCTGACAAATGTATGCCATATGAAATAAATAGATAAACCAAACACTTGCAAAAAACTGGAAATATAAAGGCAGCAATGAATTATAAATATATGAAGTTGGACATATTTTAAAGAATTATAAGGGGATGCAATTCTTTCATTTTTAAATATACCAAGCAATTTTTTTTCTTAATTGGAAAAAAAAAATCACCTTGTAATTGACAATCAGAGAAAATATTCTGAAAACACTGTAATTATGCAGTAATTCCAATTTATCACATATTTTATGTCAGGCACACTGGCACTGAGTATATAGTATATTTTCAGAAACTAAATAATATGATTGACATGTGAGTTAAAGTTTACAGTTTAAGGCCAAAATATACAACATAATATAATACAGTCAGCTAAAAAAATAACAGCAGGGGAGAGAAGTTGAAGAAATATTAAAATTAAAGTATGTTTTGAAATTATGATTATAGGATAAAGCATGGGAAACAAAACCAAGATACTGTTGTGTTAAAACAATCAGACAGTATTCTGTTTCAGTGTGAATAGTTGTTCCGTAAATGTAGGATTTTTTTTTATTATTGGAATTTTAAATAAGCAATATAGCTACTCAGTAGTAGCTTAATGGCTTAACCCGCTCATAATCTTGTCTTTCAAAGTGAGACATACAGTATACCTTCAGAGGTGGATTTCAGCAGGTTCTGACCAGTTCTGGCGAACCGGTAGCGGAAATTTTGAGTAGTTCGGAGAACCGGTAGTAAAAATTCTGACTCGCCCCGCCCCCCTCTATTTTCTGCCTCCCAAGCTGATCGGGAGGAAATGGGGATTCTGCAGTAAACTTCCCCTGGAGTGGGGTGGGAATGGAGATTTTACAGTATCCTTCCCCTGCCATGCCCACCAAGCCATGCCATGCCACGCCCACCAAGCCACACCCACAAAACCAGTAGTAAAAAAATTTGAAACCCACCACTGTATACCTTACATACAGTGCAACACAACTTATATAGAAAAATGTTTTTGTATGTTAAATTTTAACATTTAGTTCAAATTTAGTTCAAATGTTTAATTCAACCTGGCAAGTGCAGATTTAAGAGTGACTTTAGTATTTACAAACTAAGGTATGCATTTGCTTTGTTATTTACTCCCGATTTTTGGGGGGTGAGGGTATATTTGAAATAACAATTTAACTGTAAGTAACCGTGTTGAAACAAGAGATTGTCACAGCATAAAGCAAGACTAATAATGACAAAAGAGAGAGATTTTGGCAAACTTTGTTTTCTAACAATACAATTAACATGTCATTTATGTGCTAGCATATAACATTAAGATCTGGTTGATGCTAAGAAAGGAAAACATGAACTGAAAACCAATTTATGAAATTAAATACATAGCATTAAAAGTGAGCAGCTATTTTAGTATTTAATTAGGATCAGGGACAAAAAGTTGTCCCTGATCAGGGATATTTCCTGTATACGGTAACATTTCAGTGGCATAATATTGGGCTATTTCAGGGGCTGTAAGAAAGGAACTGGGGGTCACATCCATTTGAATGATGTTGAAGGCATCTGCATTCAAAGGAGTTGTCTTGGTGCAGCAGTTCGATTCTCATTGGCTCAAGATTGACTCAGCCTTCCATCCTTCCAAGGTCGGTAAAATGAGGACCTAGATTGCTGGGGGCAATAGGCTGACTGTAAACAGCTTAGAGAGAGCTATAAAACACTGTGAAGCGATACATAAAATCTAAGTACTATTCTTATTGCTATTCAGACACGAGGGGCTATCTCCTAATTTGCAAATCTAGCCACAATAGAAATAGCTCTTAGACTTATATACCACTTCACAGTGCTTTTACAGCCTCCTCTAAGCTCTTATGTGGCCTCCAACAATCTGGGTCCTTGTTTTACTGACCTCGGGAGGATGGGAGGCTGAGTCAACCTTGATATCAGTGTTCCGAGTAACGCATCCAAGGAAATCAGAACTCCAAGGCAGGAAACGTTCCTCAGAGAACATGTTTATTGGACACATCATATCGGCACCGCTAGTGACAACCAACTCTGAAGTTTCCCGTGTTAATGGCATAAGTGTCCCAAGTCACATTGTCCAAATAAAACAGTTGGCAGGCTCCTCGGTCACTCCTCTCCTCCTTCAACTGCCACCTGTTTGGGTGACCTTCGTTCCCATGGGAAGGCTCGTTGTTGTGTCTGAAGATGGTCTATCTATTCACCCCCTCCCCAAGAGCGTGTGGCAACTACAAAGCAGCAAAAGATGGCTTCAGCCACGTTCGATTCAGAGTTGAAACTTGAGTCGATGAGAATCGAACTGCCAAACTGCTGGCAGCCGGCAGAAGTAGCCTGCAGTACTGCATTCTAACCACTGCGCCACCATGGCTCTATAATCTTACTTTATAGAATGTCCTTCATTTCAGCCATTAAATCCGTAGATGTGCAATTTGCTTTAGTTAAATGCAAGGCTTTGCGGCAAGGAAATGTCATAGGGGTTGTTACTTACTGTTTACATAGACATTAAATGTTATAGAGGAGTTGGCATCTGAGTTGGAGACGAAAAATGTATAAAGACCTCCTTCCGTTTCCTTTAGCCGTGTAAGGTGAAGCTCACTGGAATAGCTACGGGAGAAATAAAACAACAACCTTCATTACTCACCTCATGACTGTCTAAGTCAGTGAGGGCTAACCTTTTTGCTGTCACGTGCCAAAAGTGGCGGGAGCGTGGGGGAAATTGTGCGTGCATGTGCCCATACCCATAATTCAATGTGCCCCACCCCCCCATACATGCGTGCATGACCTGCGCTCCCGCAGCTTTTGCACAGGATAGTATGGTGGGCCCGGTAGGCCCATTTTTCGCCCTCCCCAGGCTCCAGAGCCTTTCTAGGGACCTGGGGAGGGCGAAAACAGCCTCCCCCCCCCCCGCCGAGGCCCTCCGGAGGCCGGAAACAGCCGGTTTTCCGACTTCCAGTCCCACCGGAGCTGAGCTAGGGCAACGCTCGCGTGCCCACCGATATGACTTCGTGTGCCACCTGTGGCACGCGTGCCATAGGTTCACCATCACGGGTCTAGGTGCTTTTTTATAATATACTACCGTGTTCCTCCAAAAAGACAACCCACCTTGAAAAGAAGCCCTATCACGTTTTTGAGAGCATGCAATCAAATTAACCCCACCCACAAAATTAGCCCTAATTAAGACCCTGCCTATCCAAGGGTGTAGGGGGTGGGGCGAGGCACACAGGTAAAAAAATAAAGCTAGAGTGGGGATGGGGGTGGTGGAACCGCCTTACTTACCAGGCCTCGCACACCCCGACACCTGCCTCACCTTCTGTGTCTGCTTCTTCTGCGGCCGCTTGCCGCAACTTGCATGCATTGCCTCGGCTTCTGTTCCATGTTCAGATAGGCATCTGAAGGCAAAACAGAGGCCGGGGCGGTGCGTGCGAGTAGTGGCAAGTGGCCGCAGAAGAAGTGAGCCAGCAGTGGGCTCCTGCTGGGCGGGGCTATCAGTACCACCACCGCGAGGTAAGTCAATAACGACAACCCTCCAAAAAGAAGACCTAGCCATTTTTTCGGGGAGCAAAAGAAAATAAGACCCGGCCTTCTTTTTGGAGAAACACGGAACAAAAATTAAACAGACAGCTTATGGGTTTAGACCAGGGGTTAGCAACCTGCAGCTCTGGAGCCACATGTGGCTCTTTCACCCCTCTGCTGCGGCTCCCTGTCACTCAAAATATGCGTCCCAACCGCCAATGCGTGACACGCAATTTATTTAGCTTTTTCAAGCCCTGGTAGGCCAACCATGGATAAATCCAAGAAAAGAAAAGTTTCAGAAGAAAACAGAATGTTTAATTCAACTACATATGCTAGTTTTGTGGCCACTCAAGAAATAGTCAGGCACGGGAAGGGTTTTGTGGCTCCCGGTGTTTTCTTTTCTGTGGGAAACGGGTCCAAATGGCTCTTTGAATGTTTAAGGTTGCAGATACAGTGAGAGGTTCAGTTAGGGAAGGGAATGTTGGCAACCATTAGATTCCAAGAAAAGCAGGAAGATCTCATCCAAGCCAAGTCTGTACAGGTAGTTCTCGATTTATGACAGTTCATTTAGTGACCATTCAAAGTTACAATGGCACTGAAAATAGTGACTTATGACCATTTCCCACACTTACGACCACTGCAAGCATCTCAATGGCCAGGCGATGTACATTCAGATGCTTGACAACTGACTCATATTGACGACAGTTGCAGAGTTCAGGAGTCATTGTGCGACCTCCTGAAGAGCAAAGTCAATGGAGGACTCAGATTCACTTAACAACCGGGTTACTAATTTAACAACTGAAGTTCGCTTAAGTAATGTGGCAAGAAAAGTCGTAAAATGAGACAAGTTCAGTTAACAAGTTCACTTCACAATGTAAATTTGGGGCTCAATTGGAGTTGTACGTTGGGGACAACCTGTACAGCATATTCCTACAGAAAATTAACAGAATTATTCTGTGGTATTTGCCCTCCATCTCCATATATTGATACTTCCGATTCCGTGCCTTGCATTACCTGTTTTTGTCTATATTTGTGACTCTCACATAATGATCAGATGAATTCTGCAGTGTTTTATTCATGTATAGCCACAGTTCCTCTTCTGGTTTTGGATAGGCTTCATACGTTACTACCAAGCCCAGATTTTCCCCGTCATTGACGTAGAGTGTTGTATTTGTTGAAGTCGATAAGCTGACATATCCTTTACCTGGTGGAAAAATTTTAAGACCTCTCTTTAGAATCTTTGTATATTGACACTCATAAAATGCTAAAAACTAAGGTCAATGAATACAGAAGCCCAACTAAATTGCAACTTGCAGAAAAGCAAGCCTTATTAGCTAATGAGCGCTAATGACATTTTACTGAATGAAGTGAACAAAATAATGTTTTGCACACAGACCACGACTTTATATACCATCTACACCAACAGGGTCACTACTGACTTCAAATCAATGTGTATTTATTTATTTTTTTCACCCCATTAAATACAGCCTACTATTTCCTTAGATCAGGGGTCAGCAACCTGCGGCTCTCGAGCTGCATGTGGCTCTTTCACCCCTCTGCTGCGGCTCCCTGTCACTCAAAATATGCATGACAACTGCCAATGTGTGACACCCGTCAGCACGTGATTTATTGAGCTTTTCAACCCCTGGTAGGCCAACCATGGATAAATCCAAGAAAAGAAAAATTTCAGAAGAAAACAGAAGGTTTAATTCAACTACATTTGCTAGTTTTGTGGCCGCTCAAGAAATAGTCAGGCACGGGAAGGGTTTTGTGGCTCCCGGTCTTTTCTTTTCTGTGGGAAACAGGTCCAAATGGCTCTTTGAATGTTTAAGGTTGCAGACCCCTGCCCTAGATGGACTCCCAACAAAGTCGGCAGTGCAAAATGACCAATAAACATAAAACATAAGCCAGCAAAAACTACCATGTTTCCCTGAAAATAAGATCCTGTCTTATATTTTTTTGAACCCTGAAATAAGCGCTTGGTCTTATTGCCATGCACTCAAAAGCCCGATTGGGCTTATTATCAGGGGATGTCTTATTTGGGGGGAAACAGGGTAGTTACCAATTATAAAGATATATTAATATCCAAGAACAGTAAGTCATACTAGCTCCAGAACACCAGAAATTTCCCCATTGTTTCTTAAATAATACATGTCTACAGCAGATATTTCAAAACAAGTGACTCTGATTAATCTTCTCAAGCAAATCATAACAATGGGAACAATCACTCCGAAAGTATCTCCTTGTTTTAGCTACCAGCCTAGTTTTGAAGATTTTTAACGATGACGCATCTCTTTGTAGAAATGTGCCCATCATATTCACCATTGATAATGGCAAATATTATATCTTCATCGTCAGGAAGTTCTACAATATGACATCTAGGTTTTATTCATTTCCTATGTAAAATAATAGCATTTAAGCAGCAGAGCAAATGGGAGTGGGGAAAAGAAACCCCTTTTTGCCAATTACAGATAAAGACATGTTCAGAATACTCCTGCTAATTACACTACATGAATATGCTCCTAATCAGTTTAGCACTTATGGTAATTTTAATATTTAAAAAGTATTATGTGTCACAGCAATCTGAAACTCTAGGGTAGCTTTTCAGGAAAGCATGTTAATAAACAGCAGAGTGTAAGCATTTTTGATGGCTTCTGCAAGACACAGTGGACCCAGCTTTTTAGTGAGCTCTGGCAATCAAACCTTTCACACTAAAATGGAACTCTTTGGGGCATAATCCAGTATTGTTTGTAGAGCAGTTTCTCTGCTCAATTACCAGATGAGGCTTTATTTCACATGCTTGCCATTATGAAAGCATGTAAGAATATATGTTTTCACAGTAACCACCATTACAGTCCCTTCTCTCTCTCTCGTCTTCTCAAAAAATTGGTCCTTTCAAGTTGGGGAAATAGAAATTATAAATTAACACTGTCTACTGCATACAAAGAAAACGTACACAAAATGTTTTGCAGATGGCACTTCCCACCAGCAAGATTAGCTAAGATGTTTAAAGGTATGTCTGCTTAAATGTTCGGAGTGTAATCGTATTCTGGGCTCGTACTACTATATGTAGTACTGGACATGTAGTACTACAGTCAAGCATACTGGACAAAAATCCATACTTGGATAGAAAAAATGATAAAGGAACATACATAGATCTAAAACTAAAAATATTTCTGTTGGGTATCATACCAGAAAAATATAATAAAGGGACTATGTATCTAAATATTACATGTGTTAACAGTGGCTAGAATTGTATTTGCACAAATACAGGTATGTTTGTGGAAAGGTGTAGAGATCCCTACAGAAGAGAAGATAATTAAAATAAAATTATAGAATGTGCAGAAATGGGATAGATTAATACTTGAAATTAAAGAGAAGGAAGATACGCAATTTTTTGAAATGTGGGATTCGTTTTATCAACGGTAACTAACAGAAACAGAAGTTAGAATGGTTAAAATTATAAGAGGAGGGCTACCGTATTTTTCGGAATATAAGATGCACCGGAGTATAAGACGCAACTTAGTTTTTTGGGAGGAAAATAAGAAAAAAGGTTATTGGCAGGTGGATCGGCTTCCCGGAATACCCCCAATCAGCTGTTCCCAGAGGTGAATTTTAGCAAAAGGTTCCTTGGTTGTGAGTTCTGTGCCTTGCTTTTTTTTCTGCCTCTGAAACTTCTGAAACTCTGTTTCAGAAAAAACTTTTTCCTGCCTCTGATAGCCTCTGAAACAGAGCTTCAGAAAAAAAGCCTCTGAAGCTCTGTTTGGAGGCTTCTTTTCTGAAGCTCTGTTTGGAGGTTTCTTTTTTGAAGCTCTGTTTGGGGCCTTTTTTCTGAAGCTCTGTTTGGAGGTTTCTTTTCTGAAGCTCTGTTTGGAGGCTTCTTTTCTGAAGCTCTGTTTGGAGGCTTCTTTTCTGAAGCTCTGTTTGGGGGCTTCTTTTCTGAAGCTCTGTTTGGGGGCTTTTTTTCTGAAGCTCTGTTTGGGGGCTTCTTTTCTGAAGCTCTGTTTGGGGCCTTTTTTCTGAAGCTCTGTTTGGAAGCTTCTTTTCTGAAGCTCTGTTTGGAGGCTTCTTTTCTGAAGCTCTGTTTGGGGGCTTCTTTTCTGAAGCTTCGTTTCTGATGCTTTTTTCAGCCTCTGAAACCTCCGTTTGAGAAGCCGGGTGGGGCTACATTCGGAGTATAAGAGGCACCCAGATTTTTACCCTCTTTTTTGGGGGAAAAAGGTGCGTCTTATACTCCGAAAAATACAGTAATTTTACTATGAGGGCTTATTACAATATGTTTATTATTAATATGAATTAGTTTCAACTCCCAGAACTCCTCAGCCAGCAGGATCTATAGTCTTGCCCCCAACCTTTTGGGTACAAGGACCGGTTCCGACCAGAAGGAGCGTGGTTTCGCATGCTGCCTGCATCCCACGGATGGGGCCTCGTTTGTTTCCGTGGCCGGGTTTCTGACATGCCGTGGCCTGGTGCCAGTCCACGGACTGGGGTTGGGGACCCCTGCTTTAGTTAGTATCATCTTCTTTTCTTTTTTTTTAATTCTTTTTTTCAATTCAAGGATTACACGATTATTATTAATTTTTTGGGAGTGATCTCATGCTTTAATGACAAGGCAGAATCTGGACAAAAGCAGTACTAGGGGTATGCCAAGGTCTGGATTTGAAGGGCAAAATGTGATTAAGTGCACATGTAGCATCTGTTGAGAATATGTGATACGTTTGATCTTGTTGAGAAAATATGTTTGATCTTCTTCTGGAGTCCCTTGTCCATTGCAGAAGGGAGCCACATGAGCCCAGGAAAAGGAACAGCTGGTTTCAGGCATTTATTATCGGGGCTACATGCAATACGCTACATGCTCCTAATCCCATTTTGCCTTTCAAATCTAATCCTTTGCACAACCTAAAAACTGTATTTAATATAGTATCTTAAGTATTTTAGAAGTATTTAACACTTCCTAACAATGAGAACAATTAACCAGTGGAAGAACTGGCCTTCAGAAGTTGTGGGTACTTCATCACTGGAGGTTTTTAAGAAGAGACTGGACAACCATTTGTCTGAAACGGTATAAGGCAGTGATGGCTAACCTTTTTGCCATCGCGTGCCAAAAGCGGGGGTAGCGCGGGGAGGCGTGCACGTGCATGCCCACACCCATAATTCTATGCGCCCCAGCCCCATGCATGCACGTGCACCCCTGCGCTCCCCCCACTTTTGGCACGTGATGGCCCGGTAGGCCCGTTTTTTGCCCTCCCCAGGCTCCAGAGGCTTTCTTGGAGCCTGGGGAGGGTGAATACAGTCTTCCCCATCCCACCCTTGGAGGCCCTCTGGAGGCAGGAAACAGCCTGTTTCCCTACTTCCAGTGGGCCCAGAAGGCCCGAAAATCAGCTGAGCTCACGTGCCCACCCATATGGCTACGTGTGCCACCTGTGGCACGCATGCCATAGGTTCGCCATCATGGGTATAAGGTCTCCTGCTTAAGCAGGGGGTTGGACTAGAAGACCTTCAAGGTCCCTTCCAACTATTCTATTCTATTCTATTCTATTCTATTCTATTCTATTCTATTCTATTCTATTCTATTCTATTCTATTCTATTCTATTCTACCCTGCCCTGCCCTGCCCTGCCCTGCCCTGCCCTACCCTACCCTACCTTACCCTACCCTATATTCTCTATAAATTTAATTTTTACCAGCAAGATTTCTTTTCAGGTACTTTATATATTACAACAACTACTACTACTGCTGCTACTGCTACTGCTAATACTACTACTACTACTTATCCTTCTCCTTCTGCCATATCCGTCATCGGACATCGGCGATCATGTTGGCAATCCTATTTTTATCAGCAGCTACACGAAAAAGTGCTGCTGAGTTTTGTCCAAACCGGTCCCTTAGATTTGCCCTTCTAACACATTCAAAATTTAATAACAACTTTTAGGGGGACTCAGGGCCTACTGGGATTAGATGCTATTTTGGAACAGTAAGGCAGGGATTCTTCAAAAAAAAATTAATAAATCTATCTCAGTTTTAAACCTACTTCTTATGTCACACTACATTCTTCTTTTGTTGTGGAAACACAATGATATAGACATTAAGAGATACATAAGCAAACACCCAGGAGAAATTTCTTTACACAACCTGTTGTTCTGACACAGCTCACATTCATCTTAAGGTGAGTTTGAGATGTAAACATTCTTGACTGTACTCCACGACCAAATAAATAACAGGAAACTTTCATAATTTCACAGAAGACACAGTATGTTTCTAACATAATTACAGGTATTACTTTAGACAATACAAATTGGATGCCAAAGCCTGAAACAGTAAATAAACCTCATGCTATCTCTGTGTCTATACTAGCATTTTATTGTATATTTACAGTGTTCCATCCAAGGATCTTTTTGTTAAAGGAAAGTAGGCTTTGAATCTTCATGAATCTTCATGCTTACCAAGTATCGTACAACATTGGAGAAACATTGGAGACGCACCACCCAAAGCCCTATTCTGCCAGCAGACTAACGGGGTGCTTTTGTGGATTACAATCAGACTCTTTATTTTTGATCTGCCAAGTCTGTTTTTGGTACATCCATGAGGCTAGCAATAATATGATGAATTTTCACAGTGCACAAAGGTAAAGGCAATTGCCCAATGTCGCATCATTCTAGAAGTATTGATTAGGCCTTCAAAGGGACTTCAGCTAAAGGAATGCTTCTTTATGGACTTCAAAACCTTCAACTAGGTACAGGTAGGAGCACCTCTCAGAAGATCTGCAATGAACGGGGGCATGTCGTTCCTACTTCTCACTTTTCCATAATAGTGTTCTGTCCCCGTTCCACTCACGCACCCCCACAGACGGCCCGGAGTTAATAAGCCACACGACAAAATTCTTTGAAAATAAAGCTGGCAGCAACCCAGTGGCTAGCTGCCAATTCAGACTTTACTCACACAAAACAAAGATTAGACTGCCAGCATTCCGATAAAACAGGCAGAGTTTTCAACAATACAAGGATTAATCCAAATGCAGTCCGATAAAGCAGGCAAAGTCCAGTAACGCAGAGATCATGGATTATTTCTAGTTTTTGCTCGTCAGAAACTGAACCGGCCACCACACCCACATTTATACCCTGTGGGATGTGGTCCAGTGACTCAGCTAATCTCTGGCCCGCCTTCCCCTCTGCTGCACACGCTTCTCCCTGCGCCTCTGGAGAGGGTCCAGCCAGCACTTATCTCCTTCGTCACTGTCCACCTGTGGCTGCGGGGACGTGCTTGGCTCTGAGCCTATCTTTTGGCCTTCGGTGTCCTCCGGAGGCATTGCCAGAGAGGAGGGTCCTGGAGAGGGAGGCCTTGCCAACTCCTCTTCCTCACTCTCAGAGTCTGCATCTGTCGATAGCCCAGGCTCAGGCAACGGAGCCACAACAAATAGAGTAAGAGTTGAAAGGCACCTTGGAGATGCTCTGCTCAAGCAGAAGACCCTATTCCACACAAATGGTTACCCAATCTCTTCTTTAAAACCTCCAGAAGTTGTAGGTGTACAACCTCCAGTTGTACACCTACAACTTCTGAAGGAAAGCCACTGATTCCATTGATGAATTTTTTTCACTACCGAGAAACTTCTCTTAATTGTAGGTCAGATCTCTCCTTGATATGTTTCCATTCATTACTTCTTGTCCTGCCCTCAGATGCTCGGGAGAATAGGTCAAACCCTTCTTCTCTGTAACAGTCCTATCAGAAGGTAAGTAAGATCACCTCTATTTAGACATTTGGGATGTGAACTTCCACTAGTCCCTATCAAAGGTTTGTGACAATGGCAGTCAAAACCATTTGGAAATCATAATCCTGGCCAATATGACCAAATTACTCTCAATTTCCCAAGAGTATGTATATGTAATTGGCACTGTCACATATTCATTTATAATTATGGCACCATGGAAATACAACTATTACTACCCTAGGACTACACACATGCACAAACTCAAGGAAATGTTCTTTTTACATGGACTTTTGTTTTTACAAAGAACTATCTCGGTATTGCAAAACAGGAAGTGGGAGGGTTAGAGTTAAAAACATATTGAAACATACATTTCAACATAGATTCCAACAATATACAGCGTGTAGCTTTTGCTCTAACCCTGGCATTATGTATATATGTCTGCGATATTAATATTTACCTATTACATTCAAGGTTAGCGTGACATTAGATGTTCCAAAAGCATTGGTTGCTTGGCATGTGAATGCTCCAGAATCATTAACTCCCACTGAACGGATGCTCAGCCTTAATTTTTTTTCATATTCATAATCACGCACATTCTTGCTTTTGCTGGAAAGGCTCTGTCGGCAAAGGAGGGGGGAAAAAATTAACATCTAAGATACAGTGTACATAGCATCATTCTCAAATAAATTAAAAATAGATGCAATTATAACTTCACCGTATTAATATTCATAGCTTAAAACCTGAATAATAACCCATCATGACAAACCTGTCACTGGCATCTATCCATAGAAAACATCTATATTCTTAAAGCTGTCTTGAGGGGACAAAAAAATGAAAGAACAAAAATGAAGAAGTCCTCCTTAGGATTGTTCTTTACTCCATTAGCTTTGCTCTACATCTTGCATTTTTGGTATTTGATGGTCTTTTTAGGTCAGGGGTCAGCAACCTGCAGCTCTGGAGCCACATGTGGCTCTTTCCTCCCTCTGCTGCGGCTCCCTATCGCTGGTCGGCTCCACAATTGATAGGGCTTTCGGTTAGGGCAGGTAGAGGAAAAAGGATGCTGCGCTAGGAGGAGACTCTATGTTGGGGGAATTGGACTTCCGGTCAGTTCCAGAACTGAATGTGGGGCTTCCGGTTACGACCTTTGTGGCGCTTTGAGTGTTTAAGGTTGCCGACACCTGCTTTAGGTAATACACTCAGAATGAAATTTGCCCTAAAAACATTCACTATCACGAAGTGCTTTACAAATTAAGTTTGCATCATGGCAGTCGTCATAAGCTTTGTGTGTGTGAATGTGTCTGAATTTTAATACTGGTATGTGAGCTTCTTATAATTGATAATAAGTGGTATGGGAGAAAAACAGAGAAAGTCTAGTAGCTCCTACAACATTCCTGAGGTAAAAATTGAAGGAATTTCAGATTCTTGGGATTCCTGGTCAAGAAATCACAGCTGTCAAACAACTGTGATTATTTATTTTTTTAAAAGTTGACGTGGACCAGGGAACCCCTGCTGTGGAGATAACAAAAGAAGGATGTTCTATTCAAGGAAGGAAAGATCCTATTGAGTTGGAATATCTATTTACAAACTAAGCCTTTTACTTCCTAACTGCATTTAGCAGGGAATCAGACGGTTACCAACATCGTGCTGAACGTAATTCTACTTTTTTTTTTTTTACACAATGCAAATTTCAACTGTCCAAATATTATGATAGCTTTTTTATTAACATGTGCTAAAGCAAATTTAGTTTTAAACAAAGCTAAAACTGAAAACTGTTTTTTGAATGTAATATTTAATGTGATATTGGAACTGCTTCAGAACTCCAGGAGTTCTTATCCAGTGGTGGGATTCAGCCGGTTCGCACCATTTCGGGAAAACCGGTTGTTAACTTTCTGAGCAGTTTGGCAAACTGGTTGTTGGAAGAAATCATTAGGGCAGAGAATCGGTTGTTAAATTACTTGAATCCCACCACTGATGTAAGCCCTGTATGGGCCACATACATTATATGTCTGCTTTACTTCAGAACGGGTGTTAGGATCAGTCAATAAATAAGCACTTAAAACACAGGAATTATGCCAGCACCAGAGGATTAGTAGAGAATGGCCGGTAACACTCCAGGGACATATTATCCAAATTGTACTTTCTTGAGACTGTATAATTTCTCCAACATTGCAACACTGCAACAGTCTTCCTATTTACATGAGCTCCTGATTACATATTTTAATCAGCGCCATTAACAGTTATCAATTAAGACTGAAATGGTTGTATTCAGCAACATTAGCTGAACTCTTTGGGGAAGTATTCCTATACAGTGAAATGTAACTATTTACATATTTTTAAGCTATATGAGTGATTTGAGTCTAATTCAATCCAGTCTTATTAGTATTTAATTCATTTCTATGAAAATTAGAAACTAGAAAACTAGAAATTAACTGATTTCTAATTAAATCATTTCTATGCGCCCATATCGCTAATGTAGCGATTGTGGGCAACTTGCAATATAATAAAAAAAAAAATTAGAAGTGTTTTTAAAAAAAACAATTAAAATTAGAATAAAAAGATTTTTAAAAGTGAGCAACCAAGATGGATGGGCAGCCTGGGTGTGAGAGTCAAACAGGAGAGCCAAGTTTTTAGATTTTTCCAGAAGGCCAGGAATATGGGACACAGCTCAACCTCTGATAGGAGAATATTCCAGAAGGTGGAGGCCACAGCAGAAAGTTGTGGTTAAAATTTAGTAGCAAGAATGGCTGCTATTAAAAGTATTAAAAGTATTTATTCAAAAATGTGTGCCTTTCATAGGTGCCATATTGAAACTGAACTCCTTATATAGGAGCCAAGAGCCTTGGTAGTACAGTGGTCTAAAGCACCCTGTTATTAAGACCAGCTGCCTGCAATTACTGCAGGTTCGAATCTCGCCAGGCTCAAGGTTGACTCAGCCTTCCATTCTTTCTAAGGCAGATAAATTGAGGATCCAGTTGTGGGGGCAATAAGCTGACTTTGTATAAATATACAAAAGGATGAAGGCTATTGCTTAGCGCATTGTAAGCCGCCCTGAGTCTCCGGAGAAGGGCGGCATATAAATCAAAATTAAAAAATAAAATAAAATAAAATTATACATAACTGACCTTAGCCAAAAGGCCGAGCAGCCTCATTCCCTTCTGAACCAACTCCAACCTAACCCACATTTGACTTGAGCTTGGTTTAGATAACCAAATCTTTTCATTAAGAACTAGAAATGTACACATATAGACACACTACGTTTCAGTTGCCCACCCTAAGATATTCAACAATCCAAAACAGCTTGTGTTTGTTTCTCTTGATCCACTCAACTCTCATTTCCAAACAACAACTGGACAGAATGCCCTCTATTATTTTCGTTTAATTGAAACTGACCATATCCTTCTCAGAATTTATATCTTTGCTCTACTTTTCTGTCATTTATCATTTGGGTCCACAACATGACATTCACATATGTTCACATCCTCCCAAAAACACCTCTAATGTCACTTCAAACATTCCTTATCCATAAATTCCTTATCCATAAATACAGAATACAGTGCGAGGGACATGGCATACCCTAATCTTACACCACATTCGCTGTTGAACCAATCACTAAGCAGGCCATTTATTTTTAATCATGCTTTACTTCCACTATATCTGGTCACTTATCCCATTCAGCAATCAACTTTCAACTCCCTCTTCACACAAAACATTCCATACTTCAAGCTTGCTAACTATATTGTATACTTTCTGTAACACACGCATGGTAAGCTTCCATTCTCATATTCATTGCACTTCCCAGTGACCTGGTGATGAGCAAAAATTTATGCTAAACAATTTGAGAATGGTATTTCTATACTCTTCTCAAATTGTGCTCGTTCTCATTTCTTGTACTCTTTCAATCATAATTCTATCAAATGCTATCTTAGGAACAGTTAGGAAAGTTATCCTTTCTTAGGCAGCCGAGAATCGTATCAGTGATGTGGGCAACATAGAACTTTAATTTTTTCCCCCTCTTTTAACGATCCTTTAATCCCTTGAATCAGGGTGGAGTCGGGACAATGAAATGGAGCTGAGCATTTACTGTCCGGATGCCCTTCCTGACACCTACATGGAGCTCACAGCAGATATTTTTTCATTGCACCCAGAGAAATATCTGCCGCTACCTAGGCTCGAACTCACAACCTCCTGATTGTGGGGCAAGAGCAGCATCCCCAGGCCACCAGGCCATTCTCGGCATGGAACTTTAATAACAACAATAAATATTTCTTTTTAAAAATGCTGCTGCTGCTTTTGAATTCATTCTTGTTATCTTTCTCTTAACACAGGGAAACAAAAGCATTCTTTCACTCACCAGGCACAGCTGCAATCTTCACATGCATTAAACACGTTGACAGCAACTCCATATAAACTACACCCAATGTTAACACTTCTTCAGTTGTACCAACTCTACCTGCATCTTTACAATTATTCAAAATTCTCGCAGTATTTAGGACTACATTTGTATTGTTTTTTTTCTTGAATGCTAACATGTGTAACATTTGTTACAGTTCTACTCTTTGACATCAAATATCACTGACATTACATAAAAATTTCAACCATACTTTTCCACCAATCTGTTTGTTTCATTCAAAATCATTTTGAGCCTTAAAAAAAAACTTATATATTTAATTCCACTTATTATGCCATAGATTCCTGCTATTAATTTCCATCAATACTTTTTCCCCCCGTTTTCTCTGTCTCTTTTAATCTTGATTATTCCCTGCTTTCTTGGATTACATTTTTTGTGATTGTATACCTTTGAGAATTGTATACCCATTATATTTTCTGCTCATCGTTTATTGCACCAATTGTTTTCTTAAATGCAGCTTTTTCACATTCATATCCTCTTTCATTTCCTCACTGTACCAAAACGTTTTTCGATTTCTTACTTCCCATTACCTTTTCTTTGTGCAGCTGTTTTACTTTCACTTCTATTCAAAATTTGTCAATGCTATCATTCCAACAATGATGCCTTCCATGAATATTACTTTATCACAGCTAATAATTTATATCTCAGACCTGTTCTTAAGTTATCTTTTCAGAAAGACTATTCTTTCAAGTACATTGGTACATATTAGGTATAATGAACTCACCGCATTGCCTTGAAAAATCCAATTAGCTTGAAGAGAACTATCTATATCCCTGATTGTACATGTAACTTCAAATTCTTCACCTTCTTTGAGAAGTTGGATTGTTTCGGACAAGGTGATGGATGGTAAGGACTTGTGAACTAAAAAACAATCCAGATGCACATTATTGTCATTATATGCAAAAAGGGGGCTGGAATTGAGTTCTTAATCTTCCAATAACGTATCAGATTTGCTAAACGTATTTTAAACATCAGGACATATCACAGTTGTATTTTATCCAAATAAAAATGTAAAAACATTTATAGGCACTACGTAACAAACACAGATAACAAGCCTGCCTTGTATTTAATCTTGCAAAAAGACTGAAAGTCAATTAGGAATCTTGTCTAATACCATTTTATAAGGTTACAATTCACATTTTTGAATCCATTGATGGGATATGAGAATATCTATTAGCATGAAAAAAATTTTCCTAATTATCTTGCCACAAAGAAGAAGGAGTCAAGCTATTCTCCAAAGCACCTGTGGGTAGAAAAAGAAGCAATGGGTGGAAACTAATCAAGGAGAGAAGCAACTTAGAACTAAGGAGAACTTTCCTGACAATTGAGGACTTTTCTTGACCCAGTTGTTAAGGGAATCACTGGAGTTGTTAAGTTAGTAACTCAGTTGTTAAGTCAATCTGGCTTCCCCATTGACTCTGCTTGTCCGAAGGTCACAAAAGGACCTTCGGAAGGTCGCAAAAAAACACTGCAACTGTCATAAATATGAGTCAATTTTTTTAAATTTTTTTTTTTATTTGATTTATATGCCGCCCTTCTCCGGAGACTCAGGGTGGCTTACAATGCGTTAAGCAATAGCCTTCATCCTTTTGTATATTTATACAAAGTCATCTTATTGCCCCCATAATCTGGGTCCTCATTTCACCTACCTTAGAAAGGATGGAAGGCTGAGTCAACCTTGAGCCTTGGAGAGATTCGAACCAGCAGAAATTGCAGGCAGCTGTGTTAATAACAGGGTGCACTAAACCACTGTACTATCAAGGCTCAATTGCCAAGCGTCTGACATTTGAACCATGGGGATGCTGCAACGAATGTCTGAAAATGGTCATAAGTCACTTTTTTCAGTGCTATTGTAACCTTGAAGTGGTCACTAAGCCAACTGTCAAATCGAGAACTACCTGTAAACTAGATACCGTCAGGGTTCCAAGAGCCTTGGTGGCGCAGCAGACTAAAGTGCTGTTAAGTAGCACCAGCTGCCTGCAATTACTGCAAGTTCAAATCTCACCAGGCTCAAGGTTGACTCAGCCTTCCATCCTTTCGAGGTAGGTAAAATGAGGACCCAGTTTGTGGGGGCAATAAGCTGACTTTGTATACAAAAGAACACCGCTTTGGGGGGGGGGCGCAAAAGCCCTACTAAGCAGGTATATACAAAAGTATGAAGGCTATTGCTTAACACATTGTAAGCCGCCCTGAGTCTCCGGAGAAGGGCGGCGTATAAATCGAACCAATAAATAAATAAACACCCCTAACGAAAGAAGACTCCGAGGCTGACAGTTCCTCAAAGTTCCATTTTATTAGAGATGTCATATTGGCACATCTGGGAAAACCCGAATCTGAAAGCTTCCAGGTTTTCCCCACCTAGAAGAAAGTCCAAGTCCCTGCCCCAGCACCCATATATCCATCACATGGTCCAATCAAGGCACCATCCCAACTGGAGATGCCTCCCAGTCACGCCACTCCAGGTGCAGGCAGGCAGAACATCCTTGACTCTCAGAGAAAGGAATGTTATTATGGCTAGATATCTCTCCACTCCATACAATACCCCCTCCCAGTTTCCCACACCACTAAATGTGGCAGCCCAGAAGATCTAAAGTAAAAGATGTCTTCTAGGACTGACAGATACACAGATTGCCAAGCTGTACAAGAAAAGGGATTGTACACAATGGTACGACTGTAACAGGTATTTTGAGTTCAGCTGAATGTATTTTTTTACCTGCTCTCACCATAAGTGTTATATCTTTTGATTGTTTTTCAACTCCATCTTGTTGCGCCACACACCAGTAACAACCTAGAAATGATCTCTGTACATGTTTTATGGTGATGCCCTTCTGAGGATCAGGAACCAATGTCATATTCTCAGGCAGAGGTTTGTGATGACATCTTTTCAAAGTGAAATTGGAAACATCTGGATCGGTCACTGGGCAGACAATGAGAGCATCGCTGTCTTCCCTTCCAAAGATTGTGGGTCTGTGAAAGAACAGAACCGTTGGATCTGTAATAAAAATTAAAAAGAAAAAGACATTAAAACAGAGGAATACCTACAAAGGTGTAACGAGCCACGTTTAAATTCGTGGGATATCTTGAATAGCATCTAACTTGGATCCGATATTGTTGTACACTTTCATGTTTCTTTTTTTCATCATGCAGTGATATTTGCATTAGAAGCTATTTTTTTATATGCACATATTTAATGTTTCCTCCATATGGATCATCAATGAAATGTCAGAATTTTCTGGAAATTCTTCATTGACTCTGGTCTTGCTAAAAACATCTCCCAACTGGAAGTAATTTCAAGGAAGAGATAACTAAGTTTACCTTTGGCAGATGAGGAGAAATTAGGAAAGTCAGTATTTTAACAAAGGTAGCTATTAAAATTTTAAAAAGTATGGCTAATGATGCTCCATCCAACTATCCACTCCTTTCATCCAGCAAGTATTATATCTTCCTCTTAGCCAGGCAGCCAGGACGTTCTTGAAGTTGAATTCCAAGGATATGTGAAATTGTCATAGAGTGATTCCTCAGCAAATTACTAAAAGCTTCCAGGAGCACATTTTGTTTCTAGAATCCATCAGAATTTTTCATCAGAATCTACCACTCGCAGTTTGAACCATCTGGCACAGTTTTTCCTGTGTCGCATCTTCACTGCAAAGCAGCATAGAATATTCTGATTTATAACTGAGATCACAAAGTGCCATTTCAACCATTCTTCAATTTCGAAGAAGCAACAGTCTATCAGGTGCTGCTTTGAGGTTAGATCGGATTCTCTTTTGGCACTTTGAAATACCACAGTTGTATACACTGTGCAAATGTTAACCCCACTTGTCTCAGCAATGCTAATGGGACGTGCGTTGGTTAAGTCTATTACAGCAGGGGTGAAAAAATATTTTTTTTTACATAGACAATAGGTAGGCAATTCAAATCTTTGCACACATACTTAACCAGTTGCACAATCCTTAACTAGTTTTTAATCCCAGTTAAGATCCTTCGTTTTCTACTTGGAAAATTAATAAGAAACAAAAATAACATGCTTTTTCTTACTCGGTCACCAATATAGTGTAAGTGTAATGTAAGAATGTAGTGTCTGGGAGAAAATCTACAAGTTATTTAAGAGCATTCTTCCCTAGTTCCCATAATCGCATACTCATTGGTAGTTGCACTGTCGCTGAGCAGACCTGGAGGCCTTAAAATGGAGAAGATCAAGAGGTTGTTAAGATCTTTAGGAAGAAGGCTCTGGATATCTTCTCCAACCCAACGCCTGCCCGTATAGGTAATTAACAACACAAATTCTAATGAGAAAGCTGGCTGGAACTAAAGAATTTTATGGGTTTGTCTGATCCTAAAATGTTTTGTTCTTTTAAAGTTATTGACTGATAAGTTTTGTTACAAAGGGCTCACATGTGTGTATTTATTTATTTATTTATTTATTTATTTATTTATTTATTTATTTATTTAACTAATTAATGTATATTGCCACCCATCCCACCCTGGCAACAACACACATTCATACCCGCCATTTAATGGGCTCCATCCCGCTCTGGGTTCCCCAGGCCCGCTGGCAGGACCACTTCAGGGCCTTCTGAAAGAGTGCTAGAGTGGGGGCCATTCTAATCTCTGGGGGGATGATGTTCCAGAGAGAGGGAGCCACCACAGAAAAGGCTCTTCTTCTGAGTCCTGCCAGATATATCTCCTTAGCGGATGGGGACCCACAACATTCCTTGCCTCCCCACTCTAGTGGGTTGGGTAGATGTGACCTGCAAGAGATGGTCCCTTAACCAGATACATATATATGCTATGCATACTGTGTTTCCTCGAAAATAAGACCCTGTCTTACATTTTTTTTAACCCCGAAATAAGCGCTTGGCCTTATTTTTGGGGAGGACTTATTATTTTGAGGCGTGTGGACCAAGATGGGGCTCCTTTTGCCATCTTATCTAATTTCCAACTCTGTGTTTAAATATTTTCGGGGAGGGCTTATTTTAGCACATGTGCACAAAAGCCTAATTGAGCTTATTATCAGGGGATGTGTTCTGTCCCCCTTCCACACACAGGCAAACGTAATACCAAGCACGCCTGCCAATATTTTATTAGGTAAACAGATTAGAATTCTTGGCAGACCAAGAATGTCTGCCAAGACCGTATTCACTCCCATAAAGCAGAAGAGGACTTATCTTCAGTCCGTTCCAAGAGCAACACATTATCCACGAGACAAGAGTTCAGTCAATGTTCAGTCCAAAATATATCCAAGCCGAATTTCAGAGATCACGATTTGACTTTCAGGGTTTAACTTTGTCCATCACAAAGCCTGAAGAGCAATCCCACCCACTTTTATTCCTGGTGGGGCGTGGCTCCGTGACTCAGCTCAATCTCTGGCCCTCCCATGCCTCTTCCGTTGCTGCGCACGCTTCTCCCTCCGACGCTGCCTGGGATCAAGCCAGGATTCATCATCCTCGCTCCCTATCAATTGGTGCTCCGATATGCCTTCCTCCTGGCACATCCCAGGCTGTTCCTCCTGGCCTTCGGATGGAACCTGAGGTTCCATCCATTGCCAGAAAGGAGGGTCCTGGAGAGGGAGGCCTTGTCAGTTCCTCCCCATCACCTTCTGAGTCCTCTTCCTCTGTTAGGACAGGCTCGGGAGTCGGGGTCACAACAGGATATCTTATTTTTGGGGAAACAGGGTATATGCCAGCATGGAAGGGAGAATGATACAAACAGCACTGAAATGTTGAGATGCAAACCTCACTCCTTTTCTACACATGCGCTAATGTCACAGCTGGCTTCCGAAGGGCGCTGCTCGTAGTACGATGCTGCCATGCTAGCAGCTATCATGATTCTAATAAAGCAGAAACACCCAGTAGAATACTACAGTGCACTGTCTCATAAATAAGTCAGCTCCCTTGTCTTAAGTCTGACAGTGTAATGATGAAAAGTCTCATGCAAATCTTTCAGTCACAATCAATCTTAAGCTCCATTCAGACATTAGACAAGGGATTAAAAGTCACCTGGGACTAGAGAAAATGTACCCTGTCCTACTGTGTTGAGCTGGTGATCTTTGATCATCAAAAGCATCCCTACTTTGAGCAGTGATGTCCGTCACAAGGAGACCCCATCCTGAACTCCTTTGCACGCACAGTTTTACACACAAAGGCTTCCTTGGGTCAGGTACTGAAGTTGAAAGGAAAGATGGCTTAGAAGGTGAGATCTCGTCTGTGTGACTTTCAAAGGATTAGGCTTATCACTGCTCTCCAAATCATGGCATTCACTCTATCTAATGCCTCAGTTCTCTCTCTCTCTCTCTCTCTCTCTCTCTCTCTCTCTCTCTCTCTCTCTCTCTCTCTCTCTCTCTCTCTTTCTCTCTTTTGTAGTCTGACAAGGGCTCTTCTTTATCAAACCAGAGATCTGTCCACGTTTAGCAAAATGGGAGGAACTGAATGACGGCTTGTCCAGGTTCTGAGAAAGATTCCTACTAATTTTTTTTTTTTAAATCTATTAACGATTATGATCTCTGCTTTTGGATTTCAACAGAAATAAAAGTTTTAAGTAGAGAATGTCTTACGTTGTTACTCATGCTACGCAAGATCCGAAGAAATATTACAACAGTAGACTTTCCTCTACTAGAAATCAATGAGCTGCTATTAATTTCTGCAGGGACAAACATCACAGATGAAACGGTGTAGATCTGATACACATTCACGATCACAACAATTATTTTTTTTTGCTCCCGTTTTTCGTATCATCCTAACCTGTCTGGTAAGTGGTGGAAAATAAGGGCAGCATTTCCTACAAGGTTCAATTTCCTCCTGTTTGTTTAGACATTGGTTAGAAATGTACCTTACATGATAAAATTCACATTTCAGTAGATTGCTATGAATAGATTTTTCCATTTCCCAGATGTTTAATCCCTTCTTAATTGAGCAGAACATTAACAGAACTTAATTGGTAACAAAGTTGTATTCTATTTGCCAAATCACTCTCTTCCCAACTCACATCCTCAACTTTTTGATAAAGTGCTGAGATATCTTTCTTGTTTGCTTGTTTGTTTATTTGCCAGGAGATGGTACACATATGTGTGTTTGCTCCTCTTTTATTTTTTCCATCTAATTTACATGATGGGATTGTGGGATTTGTGGACAAGCAGTATAGAAATACTGTTAATAAATTTTAAAAAAATAGAATCCAGAATGGTAGCAAAATTCTTATACTCCTACATTTGTTTGGTGCAGGGATGAAATCCAGCAGATTCTGGAGAACCGGTAGTGGAAATTTTGAGTAGTTCAGAGAACAGGCAAATACCACCTCTGGCTGGCCCCAGAGTGCAGTGGGAATGGAAATTTTGCAATATCCTTCCCCCAGGAGTGGGGAGGGAATGGAGATTTTGCAGTATCCTTCCCCTGGAGTGGGGTGGGAATGGAGATTTTGCAGTATCCTTCTCCTGCCATGCCCACCAAGACACGCCCACAGAAACTGTAGTAAAAAAAAATTGGATTTCACCACTGGTTTGGTGGTAAAGTCTATAGACTCAGCATCACAGAAAAGAGTTTTCCCCCCTAGATTTTAAATTATTCAGTAAACTGAATGCTATACCCAAGGGCATTTTCCAATAGTGGTTTTTTTTTTTTTAAGGTAAAAAGCAGCATCAAAAAATATGGATTTCCAAGCAAAATATCATCAGGTTCCCATACCTAGGCCCTGCTAAACGATGTATTTACTTGTGAGGAAAAAAAGTCACCGACTGAAGTCTCCTAATAATTGTTCCAGATTATTTCATATCGGCAAAACAACTTTTTTTCAGTGCAATCCATTCATTCATTCAAATGCCAATTACTGGCTGATGAAGAAATGTAAAACTACACACACTTGTGTAGACCAGTCCTTAAAATATGCCAGCAGAAGATTATGGATGTTCTGGCAAAACACAGAACTTACTTTGGTTGATGCTTCCAAAAATCCCTTTAGAACTATAAAAGCCCACAGAACAGCTGCCCACTACCCCAG